TTCTCAATTCACAGATAGATTGATTGCTTGTCTGGTTCTATCACCGACAGCCTAGCTACCTTTACACAGCTATGCCGAAGAAAAGAAACTAGTTAGATACCTATCGCTCTCATGTGCGTATCATGTACTCTCTTGCTCTCTAGTCCCCGAGCCAGATACTCTTTCTTTTCTTTACTCCCCTAGAGTATTAACTGCTGGCCGGACGGCGGCAATGAAGAAAGTAGGGAGGAAGGAAGGTAGGAAGGAAGGATGGAATGATTGATGGATGGAGGGAGGGAGGGAGGGAGGGAGGGAGGGAGGGAGGGAGGGAGGGAGGACTTCTTCCAGCAAGGAACACTTACTGCAGGATAGACATGGCCAATCTGAGCAGCCCTCCCGATGTGGAGCTCATCTTCATCCTCCTCCTCTGTTGTTTTCCTGTACACGGGGTTGTCAAAGTTCATGCTTTTGGTGTTCTTCCGCTTCCAGTTTCTCCAGATCAGGTAGCCGCTCATGCACAGGAGGGCTATCACCGCTGAAGAGAGAGACACGTTGCACTGACCTCCAGCAGGCTCCAGCCCATTGCTTAGATGGCAGTTTTTCCCTTGCCACCCCTCTAACCCGACTGCCCTTGTGCCTTAGGCTCTGTTTCTGCTGCTTGGAAGCCCTTTCCCATGTCTTCTTTCATAACCACTCATCCTACAAATCCAGCTCAAATGTGAAGTTTTGCTCAGCTTCTCAGGTAGATTCTGTTGCTCCCTTCCACGTGTCCCCAGGCCATGGTATCGTGCTTTACATATATGTACCTCAACTAGGCCGAGCTCTCTGAGGGCAGGGCCTGTGTCTTCTTTCTCCCTCTATGCCCAGTGCCTTGCCCTGAGTAGGTGCTCGGTGACTCGTGCTGAGTGAATGAGTGAACTTCTTCATCACACCTTTGCCCGAATGCTGCTGCTTCCCTGGATTTCTCTAAGAAAACTGTTCTCCCCCCAAACTCGAGGGGCTCTGCAAGAAGAGGAGCATCTCTAGGAGACAGAGCAGGGAAACCCCGGCTCTGAGTTGGGATAAATCAGCATGTAAAGCGCACAGGAGGAAGTTCTCGAACAGAGCTGGGCAAAAATGGGTTCCAGCATAATCTTTTTTTAAAAAAATATATATTTTATTGATTTTTTACAGAGAGGAAGGGAGAGGGATAGAGAGTTAGAAACATCGATGAGAGAGAAACATCGATCAGCTGCCTTCTGCACACCTCCTACTGGGGATGTGCCCGCAACCAAGGTACATGCCCTTAACCGGGATTGAACCTGGGACCCTTCAGTCCGCAGGCCTACGTTCTTTCCACTGAGCCATATCGATCAGGGCTCCAGCATAATCTTTATGGATTAACAAGACGACTCTAAAGTTCATCACAAAGAGAAATTAAATAAAAAATAGCTAGGAAAATGTTGTGAGAATAATAATGCCCTACTAGATATTAAGACAGAGCACAAAGTTGTGCTTCTAGTATGTAGGAATAGACAGAACTGGTGGGGAGAATAAAGCCTAGAAGCACATCGCAGTCTGCACAGGCACGTAGTTTATAATAAAGGTGATCGTTCAAGTCAGAAGGAAAAGACGAACTACTCAGTCATGGTCTTGGGAAAACCAGACAGGGATGTAGGAAAAATAAGTTAAATCTCTACCTCACACCAGACTCTAAAATAAGTTCCAAATGTATTAATATCTAAATACTAAAATATGTTTAAAGTAGCGGAAAAATATGTAGAGAGCTATTTTAATAATTTAGAGTGAGGCAAACCTTCCTAAGCAAGACCCAGAAATCATACACAAAAGATTAACATCTGATGCTTAAAATTTTTTAAATGTATGCATGGTAAAAGACACCATAAACAAATCTCAAGTGGAATTATGGGAGAAAATATTTGTAACATGTTTAACATTCACTATGTATAAACATTTCTATAAATAAGAATAAGACATAGAACCAACAGGAAAATAAAAAAAGACCATGAATAGGCAACTCATTACGGATGAAATGTAAATGGCCAATAAGCTTATGGGATGGGAGAACATTAGGGAAAGAATATTCATCTTTCAGCCCTCCGATCAGTGGGAGTTTAACATGTTGATTGTATCAGAGCGGGTTACTGTCAAGAAGACAGCACACACGTGCCTCCGCACAGCACGGGATGCAGGAAAGGGGTGAATTTCTCTTCTACTAAGCGATGCTCAGAGTATTTTCCATCCGCCCCACACAATATGAGGCTCGAATAGCCTCACCACCATCCTTACTGCTGAACCCATTCAAGGCCAATTCAAATGCCGTCTTCTCCAGAAGTGCCACCCCCCTCCTCCCCGGGCACCATGCCTCAGTTACAGCACATTTTTAATACCGCGTGTGTAGCCACTCTTTTATGACTAAGTCTGATTAAGGACTGAAAGCTCTTAAAGTCTCTTTTTCTTTCTTGGGTCCTTGGCCCTTGGCACAGACCCTTGCTCGCTATAGAATTTTTTAAAGCATTCACTCCCTAATTCACCACCATATTGGGGTTCCCAGGTTAAGGGGGCCAAGTCCTTGAGGTACTACTCATGGGCAATAAGAGATAAACCTATGAACGGACAGTCCCAACCCGAAGATCCCGCTGAGAGATGACACAGGTATGAGAGACAGGATGCACAGGATACTCCGTGATCACCGCGGTGGGAGGGAATGAATCAACCCCTGGGTTCTGTGTGAGATTTAACAAAATGTTATATATTCTGGCCATACTGAACTCCTACTTCCTGAACCAGGAACTTCATTCCTGGTTCAGCTCATGGTGTCTTCACTGCTTGGGTTGCTCTTGATCCTTCTTCACTTGGCTGACTCAGCTCACATATAATTTCCACTAGGAAACCTTCCCTGCCTGCTCCTCTTCTCTCCCAGTTCTAAGTTAAATGCTTCCTTGGCACTTCTCCTGAACCACATATGGCTTAATTATAGGACTTACCATGTCATAGTCAAATTATCTGTGTTAAGTGTGTCTCTCCAACAAGATTATAAACTCGGAGGGCAGGAACCATGTGTTAGCCACTTTCAACCACCTTCCCTCCCCTTATCAGAGTCTGGTACATTGTAGCTGCTCGCTCAATGTTTGTTGAAAACCAAACAGAAAGAAAGCAAGATGGCACGATTAAAGCAATGGCAAGCAGCTCTCCTCATTAATTCAATACATATTTTATTTCCTACCAAGTGCCAGACACTGCTGGGAGCTGGGGAGAGGGGCAAGCATGAGAGGTGCCACCCCTGTCCCACGGAGCCTGCAGTGCCGCTCCCATGGCTGGATGCAGA